CACGTCCTGCAGCCTCAACTTGCTCCCGTCCGCCTCCAGCGCCATGGTGTGCGTCTTATCGGTGCAGCCTCGCCGCGGTGGGGGGGAGCCTGTCCGAGAACATCCGTCGCCGGTGCCGGACAGATAGACGGACGGACTGTCAGAGCGGGAGATCACCTGTCACCTCCGGTCTGAGCTGGAGCGGCAGAGACCGAGCTGTCCGTGCCGACGAGCCTCTGTCTCTGTCTCTCTCTCTCCTGCTGATTACTGTGGTACCTTGTCTCACTGACTGCATAATAATGAAGCCTGAAGAACCAGAGCCTCCTCCACCTGCAATGAAAGGCTTTTAGAAGTGAGACATCTAGCGGCACGACACGTACATTGCACCCGGTGAAATAAAATACAATATAAGAATTTGAGAAAAGACGTGAGGAAGCATTGAATCAGTATTTCAAAGGTGTTGTCCGTTGTACTTTCATCACCTCGGGATAAGTATAAACGAGTAGAAACAGACAGACAGCATCTGTTCATTGTTCTGCTTCGTAACTACAAGCTAACTGCTTCTTGCTGTACAAGCTGATAATATTTGAACGGCGTTAAAAAAGCTCAGTGTGGATTTGAGGAGATACAAATTGAGACGTTTGTGAATATAACTGCAGTGACGATCCCATGAAAGGGGTCAAGGGGGGCCATGGCCACAGCTGGAAAAATGCCGGCCACTGTTTAGTTCATCCAAAGGGCTTACAGTCATCTTCTTCAGTCCAGACATAAATGTAAAACTAAACAAATAAATGTGGTGGAAAATATATATTAATTTATTGATTAAATGAATAAATAAATGTATCAATAGGAAATTATTTTGGCATCACAGTGAATTTTTTTTTTTTCTTTTTCACTAGTCTGGTCTGGATACACTTTTGAAAAGTTTTTGGTGGCTCCACTGTAGTAGTTTTTTTGTTTGTTTGTTTCTTTCTTTCTTTCTGTGGCCACAGCAAATGTTTTCAATGTGGTTGAGGCTGGTGGCACTCTGATGTGACAGCTTAACCACTTGTTGCGAATAAAGTCACAAAGGAAACTTGTGGGCCAATTTATTCAGATATTATCTTCTCAGCTTACTGTTTAATGTTGTGAAAATATATATATATATATAATTATTTGTGTATATATATGTATATATATATATATATATATATATATATATATATAGAAGTGTTTAGCTCATGTGTTTATCCATGTGTTTGCTTATCTTGGCCGCTATGATGCCTGACATGAGCTTCCAGGTTGTGGAGAGGCAGGTTATTGGTCGGTAGTTGGGTGGGACTGGACCCTTTGATGGATCCTTCTGGATTAGGATTGTCCGCCCTTCAGTTAACCATTCAGGGTGAGTCCCACTTTGTAGCAGCTGGTTCATTTGGGCTGCCAGTCGCTCATGGAGAGCAGTGAGTTTCTTTAGCCAGTAGGCATGGATCATGTCAGGCCCTGGTGCTGTCCAGTTTTTCATACCTGAGACTCTTTCTTGAACATCTGTCACAGTGATGGTTACCGGGGCTTGCTCAGGGAGGTTGCTGTGGTCCTCTCGTAGAGAGATCAGCCACTGTGCATTGCTGTTGTGGGACGCCTCCCTTTCCCATATGCCTTTCCAGTATTGTTCAGTCTCCAGCCTTGGTGGGTCTGCTCTGTTGTTATTACCCTGCCATTGAGAGTACACCTTAGCTGGTTGAGTGGAGAAGAGCCGGTTAATCCTTCTGGATTCATTCTCCCTTGTGTATCTCTTTAGGCGGCTGGCCAAGGCTTGGAGCCTCTGTTTGGCAGTTTCAAGTGCTTCAGGTATGGGCATCTGCCTGTACTTTCTGGGTACTGGTCTTTTCATTGTACCCTTGTGGAGCTCTGACAGTTGGCTCACTTCCCTCCTTGTTACCTTGATTTTAGCCTCTAACCGTCTTTTCCATGGTGGGTATTGGGTCTCATGGTTGCTCTTATAGCCAAGTATCTCAAGGATCACTGATGCTGAGTTGTAGATCAACTCATTGGTTTCTGTTATGGTGTTGGTAGGGATCGTTCTCAATGCTGCATTCACATTCTCAATGAGACTTTCTGATGGTACTTCACTCAGCCGTTGTAATTGGCGCCGGGGGCCTGGTTGTCATTCGGGTCATGATTCTCTCTCTCAGGTCAGCAGCTGTCTCGTTCAGCTCTGTTTCGCTCATTGGGGCCGTGTATCCCTCACTGGGTGGGGACTTGTAGTTAAGTCCCCACAGTCCTGACATCCGGGTTCCTCCCTTTTGCCGTAGCATTTGTGTTGTATCTCGTCAATCTCAAGTTGTGATAGCAGTTGCCGTTTGCGGATGTTGGAACACTGAGCTACTAGTTGTTTAGCGCTTAGTGTTGACTGGGGATGTCGAAGTAACCATTCCTTCCCCAGTCTTTGCATGTAACCCTCTGACTAGGGTTACTTGAGTAGTAGCATTCCAACAGATCCACATTTTCATCTCTCGCCCATTTCCGTCTTGTTCCAGTAGCCCATTTGTCATCAAGGTGCTCTGGTTCCCCAACACCTGACGCAGACCTTGTTTGGCCGGGCGACGTCTGAGCCGGCATGTTATGCAACTTAGTATCTCTCATGGTATGAGGTAGGCAGTAGCTTGAAGGGTCTTGCCTAAGGACCCAGACTGGATTCGAACCCTGCCCTCTCGGGTGATATACTGATGCCTTATGTATTGAGCTATCCAGTCAGCTATATATATATAAGGGTATCGGTGTAAATACCAGAGGAGCCAAACACCAACTCCTCGTAGACCGCACAGTTGCCCGAGACTGCAAAACCCGACACACCAACCTGTGCATGGCTTGGATCGATTACAAGAAAGCCTATGACTCAATGCCGCATACTTGGATCATTGAATGCCTAGAGATGTATAACATCAACAGGATTCTGAGAGCCTTCATTGCAAACTCGATGAAGCTGTGGAAAACCACGCTTGAAGCCAACTGCAAACCACTTGCACAAGTGTCCATCAAATGTGGCATATACCAAGGAGATGCTCTGTCCCCGCTACTGTTCTGCATAGGCCTGAACCCCCTCAGCCAAATTATCAACAAGACTGGCTACGGATACCGACTCAAAAATGGGGCCAACATCAGTCACCTCCTCTACATGGATGACATCAAGCTGTATGCCAAGAGTGAGCGAGACATCGACTCACTGATCCACACCACCAGGATCTACAGCACTGACATTGGGATGTCATTCGGACTAGAGAAGTGTGGTCGGCTGATCACAAAGAGGGGGAAGGTGATCCGCACAGAAGGAGTCTCACTCCCACAAGGAACAATAGCAGACATAGAGGACAGTTACAAGTACCTGGGTATACCACAAGCAAATGGCAACCTCGATGAGGCCACAAGGAAAGGAGCCACAGCTAAATACCTCCAACGAATAAGGCAAGTCCTGAGAAGCCAGCTCAATGGCAAGAACAAAATCCGTGCAATAAACAGCTATGCCCTGCCAGTAATCAGATACCCTGCTGGAATAATTAGCTGGCCAAAGGAGGAGATAAAAGCCACAGACATTAAGACCAGAAAGCTACTAACCATGCATGGAGGGTTCCATCCCAAATCCAGCACCCTGAGACTGTACACGAGCCGCAAGGACGGAGGCAGAGGACTAGTGAGTGTGAACCACTGTCCAGGACGAAACAACTAAGATCCATAAATACATCAGGGACAAAGCCTCAACAGACAATGTGCTCAGTGAATGTCTCAGACAACAGGGAACAGAGGTTGAGGTGCCAGAGATACCATCATGGGAGGACAAGCCCCTACATGGGATGTACCACCAGCAAATAACCCAAGTGGCTGATATCAGTAAATCCTACCAATGGCTGGAAAAAGCTGGACTCAAGGACAGCACAGAGGCCCTCATCCTGGCCGCCCAGGAACAGGCCCTAAACACCAGAGCAATAGAGGCCCAGATCTACCACACCAGACAAGACCCAAGGTGTAGGTTGTGCAAGGAGGCCCCTGAGACAGTCCAGCACATCACAGCAGGGTGCAAGATACTGGCAGGGAAAGCGTACATGGAGCGACATAACCAAGTGGCAGGCATAGTGTACAGAAACATCTGTGCAGAATATGGACTGGAAACCCCGAGATCAAAGTGGGAAACACCCCCAAAGGTGGTGGAGAACGCCAGAGCTAAGATCCTGTGGGACTTCCAGATCCAGACAGACAAAATGGTAATGGCGAACCAACCAGACATTGTCGTAGTGGATAAACATCAGAGGAAAGCCGTTGTGGTTGATGTAGCAATACCAAGTGATTGCAACATCAGGAAAAAGGAGCATGAGAAACTAGAGAAATACCAGGGCCTCAGGGAAGAACTGGAGAGGGCCTGGAAGGTGAAGACCACAGTGGTGCCTGTGGTCATCGGGGCCCTCGGGGCAGTAACCCCCAAACTGGAGCAGTGGCTACAACAAATCCCAGGAACAACATCAGACATCTCAGTCCAGAAATGTGCAGTCCTTGGCACAGCCAAGATACTGCGCAGAACCCTCAAGCTCCCAGGCCTCTGGTAGAGGACCCGAGCTCAGAGGATAAGAACCACCCGCGGTGGGTGAGAAGGGAATTTTTTTTTATATATAAATTACACGTATATATATATATATATATATATATATATATATATATATATATATATATATATATATATATATATATATATATATATATATATATATATATCTCACTCTCACTCTCGTTAGAAACTTGTCATGTCTTCACAAGTTTGACATTTTTGTTTTTTCTGTTTCTCATTTCCTTATATCCTTAGGTTGCCCATAAAATAACAATCAATAATTAACTCCTACTGAGTCTCATTCACCGTTCAAGTTCACAGAAATGTAAGTAATAAAGTATATTTACTTATTCTGTGTGGCTTTAAGCCTTCAATGCAAAATAATAATAATAAGAAGAAGAAGAAACATTTTTTAAAAATGAAACCAACATCGATGTGATCGCTTATCGACACTCAATTGTTCATGTCTGGACGCTGACGCCAAAACAAAAACGTCACATTCCGCGACGTACGGCGGCGTCGCAGCCTTGTTTACTTCTGAAGCCGCCGCAGCTCCTCGGGTTTGGGTTTTCTTCTTTCCCTTTAATATAAACGCGGACATGTCGACTGCTATGAATTTCAGCACGAAGAGTTTTAAACCTCGGGCTCCGGATAAAGGCTCCTTCCCTCTGGATCATTTCGGTGAGCGACTGTTTGCTGTTTACGTTGTTCTGGTGAAATGACGCCTTTGACCCGCCGGTGACCCTTACGTGTAAATTTATGTTTTCAACAATTTTTGACGTCATTCTGCTCCATTTGGTGTTTTGTCTATAAGATGCAGAGCGAAGCTCGAAGCTATTTTTAACAATTAGGACTGTTTTTAGTCACATAATTACCGTAATTAATAAAAAAAAGTGCAAACAGAAAAGAAACTGATGAGAAATTATTTTCATCAAATTGGAAGACAGAGAAACCAGCACAGCAAAATCAAAACAACAGCATAAAATAGTGTTGTTGTTTTTTTAAAATCTTTTTAAAATGAAAATGTTTTTATGTATACATTTCTATATGTACAAACACAATATGAAAAATGTTACAAAAATAAGTCTTATTTCTGTACATACAATAAAAAAAACATGTTAGTAAAATTTAAATTATATAAATAAATAAATAAATAAATAAATAAATATATATATATATATTTTTTTTTTAATATAAGATAAATGTTACAAACGACTAAAAAGGTATATTTAAAAAAACACTTCATTAAATTAGAATATATATTAGATTCTGAGCTAATCACAAGGGTAAACTAAACAAAGGGCAACTAACTTATTATTTAAACCCATAACCTGAGTTCTTTGATTTCTGGTCCTAAACGGCAGAAAATGAGACACAAAAGACAAACCGTAAGTGGAAGGACGAACAACAACATGCATGTCAGGTCTTTCAGTTAGATTTGAGCGTTTTGTGTTGAGTCCTACAAATCTGTGGTGAACGGCGACCTCTTCTTCTCAGGAGAGTGTAAGGCCTTCAAGGAGAAGTTCATGGAGTGCCTGAGGGAAAACACCTTCGACAACTCAAAGTGCCGGCTGCAGTCCAAAGACTATCTGCAATGCAGGATGGATCAGTAAGGAAAGCCGCTCCACTTGTTGCCCTTCTGGGCCTGAAAGGTTGAGATGAACTGAGCTCCGTGTTTTCTTGTGTTTTCCAGTCAGCTCATGGCCCGGGAGCCTCTGCAGAAACTGGGATTCAAGGACTTGATGGATCCTCCTCCCAGCCAAGAGGGATCCAAACCCTGACCCGCCGTCGCTTCCACCTGGAGTCTTTGTGGACTCAATCGAACTTCATGTTGGGGCGCCCTCCAGAATCACACGTGTGGTAGAGAGGCTGCAGTGCGAAGGAGCGAAGGAGGGCTTACGGACTGGGATCGGAGGCCGTGGAAGCGGACGTTGGTTTGAGATATGCGACTGCAGATTGTAAAATAATGTGCTACATAAACAGAAAGTGCTTAATATAAAGAGCTGATGTTTTGTTTCTGTCAAAATAAATTGTTTTCGTTGTTTGAGAAAGAGAGAAAGAGGGTGGATTTCATTTCAGTCCTTTAAGGTAACTAATCCAATTGCATCCGTCTGAGTTTAAATCAGATCAACTTGTTAATAGAAGCATTTCTCAACGTCTGCTCTGTTGATGATCCGTCGACACAATCGCGTATTAGGGCCAGATGGGGGGGAAAAAAGAGTAAATTTCTACCAAAAATCCTTTTCAAGCCTTGATATTTAGTTTATTTCTGTTGATTCAGATTACAGCTGCTGAAAATATGACATTTAAGGTCAGAGTATCACAGGAGACCTGATAAAATGTATATTTTTAATACATAAATGTGGATTTAATGAAATCAAAGGGCCTGAAAACGTTGAAAATGCTTGTGTGTTTAATTTTTATTATAGGACCTGAGATGTAATATTCATTTTATCAACACATGTTTTAAGTCATTGAGGCGTATTTGGTGATTGCACTATTACAAAAATTCAGTTCTGAGTATTTTTAGAGGGAAAGCTAAATGTAGCAATTTCCTTCATGTTGGCCTGTCACACAAAATCCCAACTGCTATTATTTAAAACGTACTGGTTTGTGGTCGTAGCAGGAAGAAGCATAAATGTATCACGGCGCTGCATTGGCGTATTTGTAAATCAATTTACATTAATTAATCCCACGGAAGCCAACTCAAATAATCCCTCATAATCCCCAGGACAGTGAGGAAACCATTAGCCTTGTTAAAAAATTAAAAAATAAGTCAAGAAGAAGCAAGAAGTGTACTTATTGAATTAATTTATTTGTAGGACTGGAAAATATTAGCTAATTGGCTTAAAAGTAAGCTCACAGACATTTCAGCAAGAGAGCTGATTAACACCGCAGATGTTTGTTCTAGTTTTCCTCATTTTAAACTTTAACAGTGTTTAAAGTTTAAAAACACTGTTAAAGTTTTATAAGCAGCCTCTGTAAGGCTGCTTATAAAAGCAGCCTTACAGAGGCTGTAAATACAGGAAAACGCTGGACAGATGCTTCATTATTTTTAAAGAAAATTATAAAAAAAATTCATCCAACTGCAGGAGACGACGAAGCCGAAACTGACACCATTCAATATCCAGTAGCTCCAGATGCATTGTGGGTTCTGTAGGCCGCCGCAGCCCAATTCACAGTACACTGCAGTTTATTCCTTTCTGTTGAGAAAGCAAATGTGTCCATTACATTTACAATGGACACATTACACATGTGTCCATGTGTAACGGACACATTATACATGTGTAATGTGTCCATTCCATGTGGAATTTAAGCAACTTCCACCTGGTATTGACTTCAGTTGATTATTCTGGGTTGTTCATTGTCAAACGTGAACGTTGACACTTACAGCGGATAGTTCTTTAAGTCTTGATGGCAGCCAGCTTGCTTTTGGGTCCACGCAGTACGGAATGTTCAAAACGGTCACAAAACTGCACAAAGGGAAGGAAAACAAGAAACATGAACACATACAGATGGAATACCGTGTGCAATGTAAACGGAATCTTGACTGAATTCCAAATCGAGGTTTTTTTTTTTTTTTTTTTTTTAGAATCCAAAATTGGGGAGAAGAGGCTTATTTTCTTACATGAAGGCGTGCACTTTGCAACCGGCAAATGTGTGCTCCCTCTGTTCATAGCAGGCCCGGACCTCTTCAATGATTTTGGCAGCAGAAGTATTCGTACAACATGGGAGATCAATTCCATCGCGAAAAACAATTGTCCTGTTTTTCTGTCCTGAAACACAGAGCACACAGAGCATTCAAAAAATGGCGGTCATGACTCCGGGTTTTGTCTCAGAGTTGTCAGTGTGTGAAGCCTCAAGTCAGCAGCCGATCAATGAGGAGAACGGAAAGCTGAACTCACCTTGTACATGAAGGAAGAGCAGCACGGCGGCACAGATTATAGCCACTCTGCAGTTTGCTGAGAAAGACATCTTGGAAGTAAAAAATAAAATGAAATAAAAATCAGGAAGATGTAGAGTCTTTTAGTTCTTGCTTTTCAGAGTTACAACTGAGCAGCAGTGACGCTCTGATTGATCTAAAGACAAATTCTGCTTATAAATCAGAGAAATGGACACTCCCTCTGCTACTCACTCCTCAGGGCAAAATGACATTACCTTGTGACCAGTTGCTCAATATTTCACTTTTGAAATACAAGCCTTTAAATAGGAATGTGACACACAGGAAGATTACAAATAATACACCAGATGACATTTCTCTGCCCTGTGTGACAAACAGACGCTCAACCCAAACCACGTCAGAGTGGCGAAGGAATTTCTTCTCTTTTATGCTAAATTTTCTCCTTCCGAATGAAACACAGGCAAATAAGACTGATACTTGTTTAGGATTTAACAAATTCAACTGACTTCCAAAGTGAAATAGGTAGAATAATTTTACTGAAAAGCTAATTTAGCTCTGAGCTAGCTATTTAATTAGCATTGAGCTAGCGAAACATTGAGTTACCGCTGAGCTAGCTATTTAGTTAGCATTGAGCTAGTGTAACATTTAGTTACAGCCAAGCTAGCTATTTAATTAGCATTGATGTAGCGTAACATTTAGTTAGCGCTGAGCTAGCTAAATGTTTAGTTAGCTCTGAACTAAATATTTAGTTTGAAACTATGACATTAATAAATGAATGTCATGAATGTCGAATGAATAACATGGCGAAAATATGGCTTTGAAAAATGAGCCCCCATTTGTTTCCTCTTATGACCGGGAGGGAGGGAGGGACGGATGGATGGAAGTTTAAAATAAATGTTAAGCTTGAACTCAAAATTATTTATACCGCTGGTAAAGTTTGCTTTGATCTGAAATGACAAACTTTTTCCTTAAATTATACAGAAGAAAGCATTGCTAAACTAATCTGGAAAACATTTTGATGACAAATACAGGAGAGTGGAGGCTGCGGCTTAGGAGTTTTAAAGCCCAGAGGTCATTTCGCTGTCGTTTCCTGTTCTGTGACTCCGTCAGTGATAAAGTTGCAGACTGGTGACTCCCATACATCATATCTCAATGCTACAGAATGATTGGGTGCATGTGAAATTACTGCAGAATTTTGTCTGTCCTGATCTTCACACTGGTTTTTGTTGTGATTTAATTGGAAAAACAGTGAATAACTCAAATCATTGGTATGAATCATTATTTTCCAAATGAGCAGAATGAAAGCTTATCTGAAGGTGAGATATGAGGATGATTCACATGTATATGTGCAATGTGGACCAGAATCACCAAGTTGAAATCACAGGCGCCATCATATATACAATTTGTGTCAATTAAAAATGCATATTTATTTTTTGTTTATTTTCCTATCAACAGTTTTTTTTTATCCCTGCCCTTAGGGGTACAGCCAATTAGCTCCGTAGAAAATTAATGACACTCGTGGATTGGCTGCTTTGCCAACGCCAGCCAATAGCATATCACGTAGCACCACAACCTCCTATCATGAATTTTCCTTGTAATATTTTTGGTGTGTTGTAAAAATTAAAAAAAAATTCAAAAAAATCCACAAATAGGCAAATTTTCCACAAATGCTTTAGCTACTTACCACATCAAAATGTGCAAATGCTGAACCATGAATTGGTGGGTGTTCACTGTATCTCCTGAATTTCTAAATATGGAAGTAATTACCATTTGTGGATGATCTGTTAGCTTTGACCGTTTGTATCAAAGCATGAATGTTTTCCTCTGCTGTGATGTCGCTGCCTGTAGTTACTTTTTTGTCCAAGCGCAATATTTCCTCAACAGTTGACCTTGTTTGACCGGCCGACTCCCGAACTGCTGTGCTTCTCGGATCATTCGGTTCCTGTCGCTGTGGTTTTATATTTCACTATATCACTGAGTGAAATGGTGTCACATGCTGAAAGAGTTTTGATCTCTTATTTATTTTTACCTCTTGGGTCCTCGATGCAGATTAAGTGATTCCATTTAATTATCATCCTAATTTTCTCTTATTGCGGGAAGCAATAATAACAAATATAGAAATTTATAAGGTAATGAAATATCATAGACACATTCAAAAATTCAAACATTGAAATAATAATGAAAGAGACCATCTCCTACCATCTCAAACTGGTCTCCAGCTAAACCTAATCATTAGGGACGCGAGTTATTGATTAATGAGTTTATTTTAAGGTAATTGCTTCAATCCATCGACTAGTGATTAATTGAGGAGTGGTCGCTTTCTTAAAAATAAATATATATATATTGGACCAAAAGGGCCAACCATCGTTCCATAATATGAAGGGCCAAACATTTCTCATGCCGATTTAAAAAAAAAAAAAAAACAGCATATAAAATATTAGATTTTTTGTGTTAATGACAAAACGGGGACATTGCCCTCCGCTCTTCTGTCATCGTCACATCTTCATATTCATGCCGCCATCTTAGTTCTTGTTCCGATTGAGGATTGCCAATGTGGCCCTCTGCTGGATGGCCCCCAAACTACAACACTAAGGGAAGATCTAACAAGACGCCATTAGTTAAAAGAATTTAGCTAATTTTAACCTAATTATTGATTAGTCGACAAATGGGTCAAATTTAAAAATAGACATATAGAAACCAAATCTCAGTGTAAATAAAATGGACCCAGTTCAAACATGTAGAAGAGGTCAAGCTGAAAATACAGAGCAGTTTGGTGCTGCTGGTGGCCCAAAGTGCCAGTAGGTTTTATTTCACTCAGAAGAAGCTGAGCAGGAAGCAAAACTTCTTTCCAAAAGCTCCTCTGATTGGTTGGGTTCTGGTCCAGGTTTCCTGTTTGTGGCGAAGCAGCCGGACATGCCGCCCCAAAACCTGCTGCTCACTCTCCATCAGAACTCATGCTCTGTAGTGACATCGACAGCAACATCACCCAGTTCACCAGGCTGGGTGGTTTCTGTGGAGACCACAGCTTGGTTTCCTGCAGGGGTGAAAGTATAGAGTTTTAACAGGAAGTGATCATAAAGTGTGAGATCCAGTCAGTTTCATTGCTGATGTGTCATTTTCCCTTTGTCTTTTTTTTGTTTTGTTTTTTGAAGTGACTGTGTTGTGGACGTCATGTTCAGGTACGTCTCAAATCGTGTGAATATCATGAAAACATCATCTGTGCGACGTGACTGTAGGGATATTGTCACAGGTTAAAGTCATTTACCGGAGCCCCTGCTGCAGCAGATTGACGCCAGCAGGATGCTGCACACGCAGTACGGGCAGATGACCAGCAGGTGGCGCAGGAGGTGCACCAATGACACAGGAGGAGAAGGAGAACTTGCTGTATGATTAGCATCATCAGCTGAAGAAGTGGAAGCTGTCATGGGGTAGGAAGATGGCTGAGGGACAGCAGGATCTGGATAGAGATAAAAGGTACGTTTGGTCACTAGAGCAGTCGCCACCTGTTGGTCAGAGGGAGGAACTGCTGAAACTGTCTGTGTTTTATTAGAAATTGTGCCAGTTGAGACTATAAACTCAACTTTTTCCTAAATAAGATAGCATTATTATAAATGCTTCTCCATCTTTATGAAGTACTGGACTGATCTTATTAGATATTTCTGTAAACAGACTATTATCTGCATGTTCCATACAGTGAGAGAATATTTATTGTGAATTGAGGGTACGTACATAAATGATGTGAAATCAATCATCAGCCCCTGTCTGGACACAGGAAGTGATGTCACTCTCCTCACCTCTGACTCTCATATAGCTATGACGTGATGATCCAGAAGTGTCAGTGGAACACCAGTAGGAACCTTCGTCGGACTGTTGGACTCTGTGGATAATGGCCTTCTGAGATTTGACTCCATCTTCAATAATATGACTGTTCCTGTAGAAATAAGCTGCGCGGGAGGAGCCATCTTTGTGACGACAATGCAGAGTGACGTTACTTCCTTTCACCACAGGAAGAGCGGGGATCTCCAGAATTAAAGTCGTGTCTGAACAGAGAGACACAGATGTTTGCCCCATCACAAAAATCATGATGATACAATATCAGGTTCAGAAAAGTTTGATGTGGTTCCAACAAGTTTTGAAAACTCTCCTTAGCTGTGTTCTCCTTAGTCTGGCATGCTTTTTAATGTCTGGACCGTTGGCTACTGAGACACAATTGCTTGCCAGACAAAGTTAAACGATTGGATCCGATTTACCCTAATGGTAACGTTCTACTATGAAGTACATAATGTGTCAGATTGAAGAAAGGTGCTGGAAACCGCGTGTGCTGTAAGCAGTCATCGTCCACTACAACAAAACAAACGGCCAACATCTTTGCCAGCGATTTCCATATCAAGCCATATCTGTCCTCACAAATCTGCCAAATGCATTTTTATCAAGTTTGATTAAAAAAACCTTTCCATCGACTTTTTCTTACACGGGACTACAACCACTTTGATAAAGGTTTTGGATAACATTTCCTGTCAGCACTCCATCAAAACCCTGTCCAAGTTTTACAGGACACCAGTTGGTCTTAAATAGGAAAGGGGTAAGAATTATCTCATAATATTCTAAACTGGCTCTGATATTTTTTGAAAGGCAAGGATTATTCTATCCCCTCTTAAGCATAATGATGAGCTAACAAAGATAAGATTATAACATTTTCTACAACGTATTTAAGCCAAGACTATGACCACTTGACACAAAAGAAGGGTTCAAAAGAATGAAGATCCCACCAATACAAGCACAGGGATCCGAACAAACTACAGTCCATGAAGCTGAATACCTCAGACCAAGCAAAATACCATACTTTCTTTCTGGGTAACAGTGATGTTGATGTGGTCGCTGCTCTGTCCTGCACTGGTTTCACACCAGTAAACTCCAGTGTAAGAAGACAAAAGGTCAAGGACGCAGGAGGAGTCCTTAAACACCCCAAAGTCGGATCCAGACGCTCCACAGGTTTCAGTGAGTGTTCCTTTGGTCCTCTTAACTGTCCACCCATCAGCTGTCTGTCCGTCCTCACAACTCAGAGACACTGACTGTCCACTGAAGAACTGCTGAAGGTCTGGTCTGATGATCAGAGACACTGGAGGACAAACGGGAAGATAAAAGAAATCCTCTTAGCACTTATTTCTTCAGACAGCTTGAGGAATTTCAAGAATCTCAAGCCAGATTTGTCACATGAGCCAGTAAGAGGATCCAACGGGTCATATTTGTCTGGCGGATTACAGTTTATTACTTGTGGAGTACTACAGGGTCCTGTGTCATAAACATTTCTATGCTGTAGGTCCTCAGATGTTTTGACTATCTGATGCCTTCTCCATTCAAACCATTTACAGTTGTCAACATTTCATATGTACATTTTGACAAACTGCGTTAGAAAAGGTTGATGGAACAGAAAAATTCTAAGTGACTTCCTCAATTTTGGAAAGAAGTTTTATGTTATGTGGTTTTTTGGTATTTCTGAAAAGAGTTAGTGCGCTAAAGGGAAGATAGAAAGCATTTGCTAAATAGGCTGTGACTGACAAAGCGTACGTTACGCACTTCCACATATAGCAAGGTAAAATTTCGACATAGTGAACATTTACCTCACTACTTCCTCATTGATATTACAATGTATAAGTAGACAAATTCTCCAACCTTCAGAAACAGTCCCTCCTGCCAGCAGAACAGTAGAGACTCCTGGAACATAGAGATTTGAAGATCCACAGTCAGCAACAAAGGAAGAGCTGATTGGTTACATCCGGAGGAAGTTTTTTTTTTTGTACACTTTTTAAGGATTTTCAGGTAAATTTATGCACCTGAACATTGAGAGAAAAACATGAACTGACAAAATACAAATTCATAACGTCACAAATTCTAGAATGATAATAAAATAACTACTAGATACATAAATAAGTAAAAAGCTGGGGCTAAATTTAGGACCGCGTTATTCATTTCCATCTTCATCACCATTCAGAGCAATTCCGATAAATTCTTCAGGGTGTTATTTCATCCGTACGTGATAGCTGAACCTGCTGTGACGGACAGAGATGGATTCAGAAGTTCTGGTTTTGGACTCACCGAGCAGCAGACACCCTGAGAGAAGCTTCATGATGTCTGGATGGAGACTGAAAATCAGAGTGGCTGACAGAAGGATGTCCTGCACCACTTCCTGTCATCAGAACAACACGCCATCTACTAACAAACAGCTTCTGTCACATTTGTAGGAGAATCACCGCTTTCGCATCCTGTGTGATCTACCATTTACGCATCCTGTTACTGCAGCAGCGCTGATGTCTGATTCTGAGCTGACCTGATGAAGATGATTCTCTATAATTGGGTTCTTCATACAAACCGGTCAGTTTTTGTCCACTGTCCCGTCCAAACGAAACAGTTAAATATGTGAAATATGAAACGACACTGAAGAGCTTCGACCTTTTTAATGGCATGAATTCAAACTTATCAAAAATTTTACTGTAAGAAAACACTTTATGTAAAAATACACCAACAATAAAACATTTTCATTAAAAAAAAATAAAAAAATAGTTAACATGCATCCAAAGGGAAGCATGGAGGAGGAAAAGTCACGATTAGTGAAGGCTGCACATGTACTTGACTTGAAGGTGTTCTAAAAAGCCGGCTGGGTTCTGCAGAACTTGAACACCGGGACAAGTAGAGATATCCAGTACCACGGACATGTCCACATGTGAAGGTCTGTCCAACCATTTGATCTTCCTCTCTGCAGAAACATTACACAGGCGGAAGACTAGAGAGAGACAGTTCGCTGGATGACCTCACTGATAATCTAGTACATTCCTGGAAAACTGGCAGAATTCTGGAGACTTCTGGAGTCTCCATCTCCATCCTCTGTGACCTGTTAAGCTGAGATCCACTTCTGTCGTAAGTCCTGCAGAAGACACAAGACAGTTTATCAAAATAAATTTACAGCAGAGACAGGTTTACATGAGAAAACTTTGCTACGCAAGCTTGATCTGAGAAGAACGGATCAGGGTGTACGGACAAAGAGCAACAAGATTGATTGTTGTAAAATCGTCCTCCAAGGCTGCTCTTCAGACTCTGTCTCAGGCTGTTCCTCTCAAGCATGTGGTCGGTTTGGTCGGAGTTCGTATCAGACCAGAGCAGATGTTCTGTGGACCACACACAACGATTAAAAGTAATTCAGAACCATGAAAGCAAGTATTTAATAACATTTAAGATCTGTCAGAAATTAGTGCCTGGTCAGACTAGGAGCGGTTCAGAAACAGCCTTGAGATTGTACTTGGTCAGGCAGAGGGTTGGATTGCCTCCATAACTTTTAGACTGTTGAATGGGTAGACTCTGACCTCTGTATCATCAGGTAATTTATGATCTGCTCCATATGGTGTCAGGAGGAGTTTCCAAACCAGCTTAGAGAAGAGGACAGAGAAGTATTCACAAAGCTAACCTTTGACAAAGAGAGACACGACCTTCTGCTTCAGGTTGTGTCCATCCTTTTGGACGGTGCAGACATAGAGACCACTGTCACAGTGGTTGGGGCTGAACAAAGTCAGACTGAGATCTCCGGTTCTTAACGGGTTGTCTTCCATCTGTGTAAGACCTCTAATCATCTCAGGCCGATCCGCCTGGGTGCTTGGATACAGGTGGACCACCTGGTCCGCGTCTACACGTCTCCACTCTACTGTTGCCGTGGGAGGAAGACGAACTTTGGTTTTACAGGGCAGGACAACAGCTTCCGCCCCCTCTTCAGTCTTCACCACTTGCAGCTTGTAGACTGAGGAGCGAGAAAGAGAGCATGGTCAATCGACAGCTGCAGGCCATGATCTGCAGTGATGGTGGAGAACATCTCATCCTGCTATATTTAGTCAGAGTTTGTCCAAAGGTTTCAGTCTGAACATGAAGCAGGTACCATCTCAAGGCTACATACCTGGATCATGTTTTATCCTCTTGTATCTCCTGTAGATGACCAAACCAAAGACAGCAGCCAGGACGAAAAATAGAATCAGCACCACTGACACAATTATCAACCATGTCGGATGAGGACGTTCTGCAGGAGCCACAAAGAAAACAGCCAAGGTTCAATCAGGAACTGAGTGACTTCTATGTGACTATTTAGTTACACTACAGAATCCCACAAAGACTTGGACCCGCACCAACCCTTTACTTGGAGAGGTACATGGATTCGACTCAATTCCTGTCCGAACCTGCGGACAGTGCAGGTGTATGTCTCACTGTCAGAGACAGAAGGGTTCTTCAGAGTCAGACTGAGGTCTCCGGTCTGCAGAGCATCCTTGCTCATCATGGTTCTATTGCTGTAACGCTGGTTCTGCTCAGACAGATCATCGCCGCTCTGCTGATGGATGTGAACAGTAGAAAACTTAAGGTCCTCACGGCTCCACACAATCGTGGACTCCATGGAAACAGAGACGTTGACCTGGCAGGGCAGCTGGACCGACTCCATGCCGTCAAACACCTCCATCCCCAAAGCATGCAGGGAAACTGGGGGAAACACAGACTCAATTTTTCATTTATTTTTTTACATTTTCAATCAGCCAAGACTAGATGTTGGCATGACGTAAGTAAAGAAAGAAGTTAAGTTTATTTACGGTAGTGAGCATTCATCCATCCATTTTCTGTACAAACTTGACCCTAGTGGGGTCAGGAGGTGCTGCTGCCTCCTGACCCCACTAGAGGCCCAAAACTTTGGACAGGTCGCCAGTCTTTTGCAGGGCGGTAGTGAGCTAAGAGCTGCTAATTGCCGCTAATAACTAGTTTTCCATTCTGTGGTTTAGTGTTTTTGCTAACTTTTAGCTGACATTTAGCACACTTAGCTTCCCCTAGAATCACAGTCTGGATCAATTCTAAAACGCTAATTTACTTGTCTGTTTTCTAAACTTTCAGAAAAAAGTTCAAAGTTCAACATCAGTTTGACAACCAACTTTTGCTCATGTTGAAGTTTCAAATTCAACTTGATAATAGATTTTAATGACTTTCATACTTATTAATATATTTATAAGTGGAGAACTATCAATACTTTTTCAACTATCAGTTTATTTTCCCGCTCTTATTTTTGAAGTCTTTATGCAGGAGTTCTGTATCCTCTCTTCACATTGCGTTTTACAGTTTCTACATTTGTTGTAAACTTGCGAGCGGCACGTATACCACATCGAACAAAGTAGAGTATAAGACCGAGGTGACATGGAACTGACAAGAGTCAAACTTTCTGATCAGCTGGATCAGAAAGTTGGATGGGTGTCTAATCATGCAAAGATTAATGAGTTGTTACCCCTTTCATGCTTGTGTTAGGTACACCATTATAGTGAATGAAATATAACAAGGCACTATTTGAAAACCTGCAAGGTTCTGGCAGGATGTGGAACTCTAGAAACACATTGTGAATTGGCTGAGTGTGAACTAACATTGACTGGTACTACTGCCTTAAAATCATATACACTGTCACAGCGTAACATTTCACAGTCTGCAGCTGTAAGAGGGCGAAGAGACGTTGGACATCATGGTAGAGTGGTTGTGCCGTCATGTTGCGTCATCAAGCGGTTAACAGGAGCTTTGGGGAAATCCCTAGAAAAGGAAGGGAGTTGCTATGGCAACAAGTCTGAACTGGTGTGTGTCCAACAGGTTCGGCTGAGTTAGCTGTGTTCACATTATATAGAGCCGATATAAACAGAATGTCAATATTTATATTATTCTAAAAACTGTCTGTGTGACTAAGTTTGCTGTATTGTTCCTACAATAACTTGAAGCTTTATTTTACCACATCACTATATGGTGAGGACTGGAGCAAGAACCAGCAACACAGAGTGACTACATAGACTGCAACAGGTAACAAGCTGAAACAGGTCAGACCAACAAAGAAAAGGCTGGTTTGTGTCGTTTCTCCTGGTTACCGGGGTAAATTCTCATTTTTGTCTTTGTTTCAGTATTTGTGGAGAACACAGCTGGATAACATCTAAGTCCAGTCCTGGTAAAACCTCTGAGACACCAGGAACAGTCTCCTCTCTAAAAGAGTTCATGGAACATTAAACAAGTCAGCACCGAGAACACCGCACGCTTTAGTAGAACATTGAGAGAACATTCAGAGTTTTTACCGTACAGCAGAATCCCAGCTACAACAAACATTATCATCCCGTTTTATGAGACCTCAAAGTGAAGCACTTCTGAATGAGCACGAAACTTGTAGTCGTGCCCCTCCCAGCACTGAGTCATCATGGCGCAATAGATCGGCAGAAATCTATTGCACCTGAAAGGTGACCTGATTCTGATTCTGTGCAGAAGCAGAAAGACTACCCAGGCTTCTGAAAGCTGTATAGCTGTGGTCTTCTTGGTACTGATTCGTAGTGGTCCAGCACACTGGACCTGGCAGTAATGTGACCCGATTCTGACCTGAGCATTAAAAAATGCTGATGCCGTTGTCGGTGGTCTATGTTTCACCTTGACCAGGTGAGTTCCTTTCTGAAAAAAGTGACTTCCCAAGACAATGGCAGAGTTCACCCCAATGGACTTAATATTCTAGTTGTGTTGGGTTTGTACGTAACCGCCTTTTCCACCCATCCAGGAAAGACCTTACAGAGAGAAATGAACTGTGTATGGCAAGAGCATAGTAACAATGAACAAAGAACTCAGAAATGACCAAAACACAAACTCAAATGAAAACAAAAAGCCAAATACCCAAAGATTATGACAATATCCCAACCCCAAACCAGTTCCCTCGCAGAGTCAGAGAAATACAGAATTTGTTGAGTGTTGGATCAACCAAAGACGATTCAGTGAGTTACATGTTGGAATGGCAGGGACAGAATGAGGCATAGGAGAACGACAAACCAAGTGGCAAAAGACTTGGTATGATTTCCGGACTATAAGCTTTTTTCACATGCTTTGAGTACTGTGTTATGTCCAATAAATGTTTTTTTTTTACACACTGGTTTCAGCACATCTTCAAGATGAAAGTGATATTGAGAGCGTCAATGAAAGAGAACATGCGTATTGTATCACATCTGTCTCCCAATCAAGAAATATTTGTTCACCAGCTGAACTTCTGCTTAAATTGTACACTAGATTATCAAAGAACTTTGAATAAATAAGCTATAGACACAGCCTTAATTTAAACCTGTATGAATGCAATTTCGGAAACCAGGTATGACCATGGTGGCTTTATCATGCCACCTTAAATGACTTTGAGGTTTTCAAGTGTGAGTGGTGTAATATGTGCCTTTTCAAAGTGGAGAGTGGTTTTACCACAGCTGTAATAGTCCAGCCTCTAGAGTCTACCATCTGCTCCTGATATACTGGATTCATTCTGTGCTCAGAGATCACTTACCAAGCAGGACCAGCAGCTGCTGTAGAAGCATCTCAGACCTTCAACTGCTGAGAGACCCGCCACCTTCCAAAAGGCACTCGAACTCCACAATCAGATCCAGAATCCGGCAGTCGGTTTCTGATCTGTACTTGGGGACTGCTGGAGGTTTTCTTTTTTCACTTTCAGTTCCTCATTCAAAGATGAGTTCACATGTCTGTAGATTCCTGTATTTTGAAATTTCAGCTCCTCTGTGTGGAATAATCAGCCACATCAGGGTTTGCCTGGAGGGTTCAATCTGGAGGGACTAAAGCAGACAGAATGTCATGAGAGACAGATCTGAGACGGACAGCTCTGAGACTCTGGTTTTACAACTGCGTTCACTGTGGTCTACCGCCCCCTGGTGGGCATAAACTACAATCACATTCGTCTTCATCAGATCAGCAGCGGCGGCTGGATGGAGAAAGCAAATAATGACGCATTGGGTAAAAGCATGCAAGGAGGAATGAGGGTTGTTTCTCAAAAGCAGCGGCATATACAAGTAGATATAAATCCTAGAACAAGAAAGTTTAATGAAGAATATTATGTCAAGGTGACAGTGTTTTTTTTGTTTGTTTTATTATATTTTTTTTAATTCAGTGTTTATGAAATTATATCCCTGTATGTTTCAATGTAATACTCATGGGTTTATATAGCAATGAAGTTATTGTACTTTGCATTGGAAACTCCTTCCCCTCCAATAAAGAGAAAATCTGTTAAGTGTAATTAAATTCAATCCTAATAATAATAAAAAAAGGACTAAAAATAGTCTCCGTTATCTCTCGTTCACAATCGTTTCAATAAACCACGTGATCGCCTCTCGGCTGGATCAGAGTGTCGTAACGCGCCATAAAAACTGCTCTGCTTTAAACCAATCAACATCCTGGACGCATCTGACGCAGTCAGGAAGAAGCAAGGGGAGGCGTTCCAGCTGTGACTCATTTTTCCCTGAACTAAGGCTGTCAGGTAGCATTTCCAAACGATTCCATTTGGACACTCTTAATATCTTCCGCCAGTTGTTATTATTTTCACCCTCAACATGCCTAACTAAAGTATCAAGATGTAAATGTTTTATGAAACCTGTTCTGACGTCACAACAGCAATAGACTCTTTGGACTATCTGGCGGGAAACTACCTGAGAGTCTGAACTCTGGGTGAAAGCAGAATCTTCTCCACCGGCTTCAACGGCAGAAGAATTGTTTCCCCTGTCTTTGTATCAGCCAGACAAGGTTAAGGTAAGTTGGGTTAAAGAGTCCCAACACGGTTTAAATGCTTTCTTTTAGTGAAGAAAAGGAAAAGGTTCCGCAATTCCAAGCTGTCTTTAAGAGGACTGTAATGAATATAAAGTTGTAGGACATTGTTAGAGAACTGGCATCCAGATGAGTTCTACAGGTACTAATGAGACAGAGGAAAGAGGCAACTCAGCAGGGGGGGCCAGGACTCTTGCACTAACTGTGTTCTTTGCTGCTATTGGAGGAACGTTCCAGTATGGCTATAACATCTCAATCATTAATGCCCCAACCAGCTACATCCAGAACTTCATCAATGACACGTACATGGAACGCTGGGGAACAGGTTTGGATACTCCTCAAGTGACTCTAGTGTGGACCTTCATTGTCTCTGCATTCTCCCTGGGCGGGTTGCTGGGGGCCCTGTTGGCAGGGCCTATGGCGGTTCGCTTCGGAAGGAAAGTGTCGCTGCTTTTGAACAACTCCTTCCTGCTGGTTGGTGCTGTGTTTGTGCTGACTTGTAAGGTGGCAAAATCATTTGAGATGATCATTCTCGCTCGTTTCCTGGTTGGGATTAACTCCGGAGTCAGTATGAACATCCAGCCCATGTACTTTGGAGAAAGTGCTCCTAAACACCTCAGAGGCGCCGTGGCGTTTTCCTCAGCCGTTTTCACTGCATTTGGAATCTTCTTTGGACAGGTTGTCGGACTCACTGAGGTGCTGGGTTCAGAGCCTCTGTGGCCCTACTTACTAGCTAGCAATGCTTTGCCGGCTTTGATCCAGCTAGTGACCCTGCCCTGGTTTCCCGAAAGTCCCAGGTACCTCCTCATTGACCGTGGAGACAGGGAAGCTTGTGTCCAGGCTCTCGGAAGATTGCGTGGAGGAAAGATTCCCCCTCTGGAGATGGAGGAGATGCTTCAAGAGCAGCAAATGTCTGCGGCCTTAAAGTCTGGTTCTTCTGCTCCTGCCAAGACGCCGTGGGCTCTGTTCAAAGATCCGGACCTACGACTTCAGCTCAGGACGGTCATGACTGCAAGCAGTGCTATGATGCTCTGTGGTAACGACTCCATCTACTTTTATGCATACTACATATTTCTGGAAGCAGGGATTCCACCAGAGAAAATTCAGTATATCACCATTGGAACAGGGGCATCTGAGTTTACTGCTGCCCTGCTGAGTAACGTCCTGATTGAACGGGTGGGCCGCAGATACCTTCTCATCGGTGGGTACAGCCTCATGGTTTGTTGGACCATCGTCTTCACTGTTGCTCTCACACTCCAGAGCCAAGGTGTCACAGGAATGTCGTATCTCAGCATGGCATGTGTGTTCGCCTACATCCTCAGCTTCGGCCTGGGCCCTGCGGGGGTCACAGGGATATTACCAGCTGAGATCTTTGACCAGACAGCTCGGCCAGCGGCGTACATGGTCGCCGGCTCGCTTATGTGGATCAGCCTCTTCCTGGTCGGAATGTTGTTCCCTTTCATTGTGAACGGGTTAGGAAACTACTGCTTCCTACCTTTCCTGGTCGTCTGTCTCATCTCGGCTGTTGTGCTCGGTCGAACCATGCCAGAGACTAAGGGGAAGACTCTGGCAGAGATTACAGCCGAGTTTGACAGAAAAAATGGACGAGCCTTACATGTTGAAGAGCCTGAGCAGTGCCAGCTGGGCAAAGCAAGCTCCTTAGCGACAACGGAAGCTAATTCTGAATCTGATCATAAAACTAACTAACTTCTAGGAAAAGTGTAAATTGAAATATGGTTAAAATGTCATAGAGATGTTACGCATTTCTTGGTACCCCTTGTAAATTAAATAGCTTTACCAAGGGTACTGGCAAATGGCCTGTATGATGGATAGGAATAGATATCAAATGATGATCCTGTTAAGAAACTGTTGGGATTTACTCCTTATAATGCTGGAAACTAACTAAATCTTTTATTACTGGCATAGTGTAGCATGACATAAACCAGTGTAAACCCATTAACCTGCTCTTAACATGAACAGATGCTTTAAAGCAACATTGAAAAAGTGCCTTTTACTGATGCTTTACTTCCTTCAGGATCCAACATCACAGAGCCAGTCTAAAACACAGCACACCTGCAACTTAACAAGCTTACTCTAACTCATCACCAAAATCTTTTTGAAAGTTGTAGCAAGTAGATATCTTGGCAGAGGAGAGAGTGATCATTTGAATTGCATGTGATAAAGGATTATCCACTGTGCATGGACACATCTGTACTCCCAGAGAGCCGCGCTCGTTTAGTGGGATAATCTTTCCTGGCTCTCCAGCCCACCCCAAGCAGTGCCCTGTGCACGTTTCCCAAACCATGTACAATTTTTTTGACATGTATTTATGCCGTGGCTGGATCGCACCTTTAATTTAACTATATTAGTTAAATTCATCTATACATTATGCCCATGAGGACTTACATTTGCATTTCATAAATGAAGAATAAAAACGTTTCAAATTTTAGCTGCACTACTTAAAAAGGGCCAGCAGATGTCACCATTGTCCTCAAACTATCTGTATGCTGGAATATGAGGTGAAAGTCAGGAGAATGAATTAACTTCCAGGCATAAATGACACGTTTTCTAGCCAGCAGCTGGCACTTCCTCACCCCTGTTAGCCTTCTGTGAACCTTCGGTCCAAGATTCTCTCTGCTCCTAAATTACATTCAGACGCCAAACTGAATCAAACGTGGCATATTCATCTATGCATAAATTTAATGTTTTGCATGATGCCGACTGTTTGCACTGAATGAATGATTGAATTTACCAACACTGTATGGCACTGTTATTCCAAAGACTTCTCTGACAATCGTCAGCTGTGGTATTAATATATATATATATATTTAAAAAATCTTTGTAGTATTCTCAGGCTCTATTTATAGGCTATCGTTTCTGCAAGCCAGTATTTATTAGACAATATTTATCTTACAGATGACTGTACTGCATGTTCAATGAATAAATAAGATGTGATGACTCATGCTTCTGTCCTGTCTGATGCGGTTTTGACCGATTCCAGCTGTCTGAGGCGGCTGCTTGTTTTAAAGTTGCGTTGAAGCACACCACTCAAGCTCCGTTCAGCCCCCAGCACTTTAGCTCAATTTCTCCTGCACACTTGTGTTAAATTGCCACCGTGGCACGGTTTATTAATGGAAGCTCGCCAGGAAGATCGCAAGAGTTCAGGAGAGCTTTTTCCGTAGATCTCTCCATTTAGCATAAATAAGCAAAATATGCGATGCGCTCTACTGACACAGTGTGATTTCATAATTATGATTTTCGGCCATTGTTTACGTCCGGAATTACAGATTCTGGTTTCTTCTGTTGCAAAAATGATTATTTCTTGAAAGCTATTGGATACTCATCTGATCGACATGGGTATAAAAGTGATGCATTGTAGTTGGGGTCGTGAAAAAGTCAGAATACGGGTAGCATTTGCCTGCTGTGTAAACATAGCCTAAAACGTGCCGATTTAAAGCTGATTAACTAAATTCATACTCCACATGAGCTCGATATCAGATGGATAAAGCTTACTTATTACAATCTCAGTTGAGAGGCAGCGTATTGTGATGGCGGCATGAAAGCGGCCTTGTTTAAATGTTAATACAAATCAGTTCAAAAAGAAGCATCTGTTTATTTCTCTTTCATCGTCGCTTCGAGAGCCTCTCCTTCTCGCCACCCGATGAAGAATAGACAAGTACCAAGGCAGGCAGCCGAGGGTTTCATCTTTAACAGGACTTTTTGTTACTATGAAAACATATGAGGACGTTGCCAGGCACCAAAGCGACAAGGAAAATGAACCTTGATGTCGACAGAAGGAAAGAGCAATAAAAGGCGACAATCTTTTATGCCGGAGAAAGGTTCTGTTTGCATCGGCAAACATCGCCAGGATAGTTTTAATAAGAAAAGTTCGTTCAGAGATTTAGCGACCTCTGCGTGGAGCCCTGTAGCAAATC